ACAATCAACGAAGCTTAGAGCCATATAAGAAAGAATCAACTCGATACTAGTGGAAGAGGAAGCGGAGGTCTTCGACCGTGAGACGCCCAAGCGCCGCCGTGCTGGAGCCCACCGTGCCTTCAAACACCAGCTGCTTCTTCTCCTACAACAGCATCATCATTTGCACCCGAGAAGAGGCCGACGCACCTGCAGCTTCAAGATGCGGTCTTCAATCGTGTTGGCAACGATGAACCGGGTCGCGCGAATGGGCTTGAACTGCCCGAGTCGGTGCGTGCGGTCGATCGCTTGGTGCTCGGCCGCCGGGTTCCACCACGGGTCCATGAGGAAGATGCTAGTCACCATTAGTCGCCGACGCGCCACTCGTAGCACAATTGCTGGGACGCGACCGTGAGGTTGAGCGCGACGCCACCGGCCTTGAGACTGATGAGGAAGATTGTGAGCTTCGGGTCGTCCCGGAAGAGCGTGAGCAGCTTCTCGCGCATCGTCATGGGCATGCTGCCCGAGAGCTTCACGCAGCGAATGCCCGCGAGCTCGAGGCGGTGCTCAATGAGGTCGAGCATGTTGACAAACTGCGAAAACACAATGCCCGACCCGCGCCCCATCCGTCGCCAAGGCACTGGAAGACCTGCTAGTTTTTTCTAGTAAAAGGACTAGAGAAATTGCTAATACAACAGTATATATATTGACAGTATTCGATATATTGACAGTATTCGAGAAGACCTCCAGCACATCGACGGGTTGCAGGCGCAAACGGCAGAAACCCGCGACGAGCTTCGAGCGAGAGTGGCCCACCTCAACGAGTGCGACGTGCTTGCCAACGAGAGCGAGGTGCTTGCCAACATGCTCGGTCAAGAGAACGCGGGCCTCAGATCCGAGGGCGATGACCTCATTTCTGAGCTCATCGCCCTCGGATCTGAGGCCCGCGTTCTCTTGATCAAAGGGAGGGAAAACGCAAAACCCGCACGACCATCTTCTTCATAATGTCGCGGGCCATAAAAGGAGCCTTCATAGTAGAGCTTCCAGATCGACATATTGAGAGAAAACTTGGATTTGGTGAGTAGCCATTTTCCTGTATGAAGACTGGATACAGCGTTTATCGCCAATTATCTTGTATTATTTCTGTATCCAGACTTCAGACAGGAAAATGGCGCGCTTTTGATCCGATACGAGATATCTTGCTGCGATGCAACTGCCGTCGTCGGTTGCCGGCTCCCTCTGTGACGCTGTCGTAACGCCATTCTCGGATCACAGGTCGTCCAATCGTGCCCTCTGGCCGATCTTGCGTGCTTGCGTCTAGTGCAGTCCTTGGCTTGAATGCAACAACCGAGTGTTCCGCGCGATGCTGACGCCCCTTCCCGCTGCTGCTCTCACGATCAAAGCAGCTACTATCACGCGATTGCACATCCGGCACTGTTGTACAATATGACGTAAGAGACGGTCGAGTATCGGCACAGCGACACGCGTGCGATATAGTAGCGCCACAGCCCCGGAGATCTCACAAGTAAAATCAACTCGTATGAGCTTCCTTGGCGAGCGTGCGATACGGACGGAAAGGTAGCTCCGAAAGGCTTTCCAGCGTCTCGCTGGTGGGACACGTGCCCGTAGCTGTGCCGGCCATTTCGCGCTGCTTGTGGGTGGTGTCATCGTCGGCAGCGAGTATGAACGCTGGACACGAGCTGCAATCAAGGGACGGCAGTTGTAATATTGATCATCGTAGTTGTTGCCTCCGACAACTGTTATCACACCCGTCCCGCGGGTTTTTGCCATAACTTAAATCCACAGACAGCTCGTCGTCAGTACGTAATGGCGACCAACTCGATGCGCCCGCACTTTTGACACGCCAGCGGCACGAGCTCTTGGCTCACAAAGAGCTGCGCCTGCTCTCGATGGAGCATCGGCGGTGGGACATTGTCGTGGTCGAGAAGACAGTCCAGTTCGTAGCACCGAAACTGTCTCTGCGCCTGCTCGATGGCTTTCGCCCGCCTCGAGCCGAGGCCCATGTCGTGGGTCATGAGGTAGTGCTCGTCGTCGACGCCGCCGCCTTCGCTGTCGGTACTGCAGCCGCTGTACCGTGGTGACAGCCGGCACGGGAACGCCGGTGGCGGTGGCGGCCCGAGCGCAAATTCGTCGAGATCTTCGAGGAGATCCTCGTCGTCGTCGTCAGCCGCTGGGTTGGGTGGGCGTACAGGCGCACGGTAGTCGACCCAGTCGCTGAACGGGTTGTCGATCGCCGGTGGCGCCGGCGGTGTCGGCGTCGCTTTTGGCGGCGCCACGTACGCCAGGCGCGGCCGCGCTGCCGGGAGACTATCACGAAGGCATACGGGATGGCGCTCGCGAGAGATTAGGTTTGGCTGTGACGGCGGCAGGTGCGCAAGGCTTCGCGCGGTCGCCGTCGCTGGGCCCGATGCCAAAGCGGGTGTCGTCGAGGTCGTCGACGAGGCTGGCGTCGTCGAGCCGCGCATGGCCGGGTTCGCTCGGAAGAGCGCGTTTGCAAGCGGGCCTGTTCTCATCGCATGCAGCAGCAGCCAAGGTCGGAGTCGGGCGGCCTCTCTGCGCTGGCCTTCGAATGAAGAGCCTCAACCGCTTGGAATTGCGCCGGCCAATCGCAGCGGAATGGTCCAGCGAGTGTAGCTCGCATGAATGATGGTCGAAGCTCTGGATTGTTATACTTCGATGTCGCGCCTCCGATTTCGTATTGTATGACAGAGTATTGGTATTCAGAATTAAATCCATTTATTATATTGGGACAAAGGTCGGTCGAAGTTTTGGGTTTTTGGTGTGCTTGGGGCAATATGACGCGGCGTTTCAAGGAGCCAGCAGCACACTCGAGCGGATGATGACGCGGATTGAGCGGCCATGAACAAATGAAGGAGAAGCGACCACCATAAGCAAAAGTATGTACCCTAATTTGTGCTGGTCGAATAGCTCGAGGATGGGTGCTTGATAGCAAGACAGGCGACCCCAGCCCGCATTTCGTTGATAAAAATTGCGCTGGTACGATCTAGAAAGGTCCTTGATTATCGAACGTTTGAACCCAATCATCCGAATGCATGTTTTCTCTCACACTCAATGTGCAAAGGAGGATCAACTACACAATGATGACAATGGTGATGCAGTAGTGTACCTGCAGCTCGACTGGAGTTGGTGCTGGTCCGCCATTTGCAATTGAATTGAGCTGGATAGGAGCTGTGTGAATCAAAGACACCAGTCTCACCTCACAATCACGACCACAAGCAGCACAACGTCGTCGCACTCACACTGACAGCGTATTCCTCACGCATGCAATCACAAATCTTCGCGACGACGACATCAATGCTGGAGTGCATTTGCCTAGAAAGCGCAGCAATTAACTCCGTTTATGAAAGGCAAGCGCCCATACGTATCGATTATACTGAAACGCAGTTGGATGCATTGCAGAGAGGTCGGTGAAGTGCAATATCAAGACGAGGCTTGCAAAATGCGTGCAAAATGCAATATGCCCAAAGGGTAAATCCCAGCAACAAAATCCCAAAAACGAAGTTCGAAGATTCGGGTGATTGGATCGAGCTCCGATTGGTAATGCTCTCGAGTCGAACAAGATATATTGTCGTCGAGCGTGGACATGGGAGTGTGCCACCAGCAAGCCCATACGTAGAGCTATACGTAGTCTCTTGCTTTACTCGGTCGCGAAGACGAGGACACTACGCATCGACTGCCTTGCCGGGTGTGGGATAGCTCATGGCTGATTGCTCAAAATCTCCACTGAGTTCAACGTTTCCATTGGCGTCCACGCTTCGTCACCACCAACATTCATGCCGCCTGCAAAAGCCTCGTGGCTCACACTTGAAAAGAATGGTTGTGAAGAAGGGCCACCGACTTCAAGTAATTCAGACGTGCCTTTGTGTCGAGAAAACCCCTCGACGTGACGCTGACCACCGCAGCCACCCACACGAACACAGTCGCTTTGGTTGGAAATATCCAACGAATTAACATTCGACACAATTGTAGAAAATATCAGGGCTCGGGGAGTGAACAATGCATGTGTACAGTCCACTTCGGCATTAGAGCTCTCACCACCACCACCAAAAGTGTCTTCTCGAAGTCCCATGAGGTTTTGCAACGAAGGTTACCGAAGATGGTGTGATCGGGCCTCTAACTCTCGATCTTCTTTTATTTCAGTTTTGTAATTAAAATGACGTGGCATACCGTACTTTGACGGTATGCTGCGTTATGTTAACGTAATTGTACCGTAAAAGTAGCGCGGTCGCACATGCCTCACGATAGAGATCCTAGATGTGATCCTTCGGCACGACCAGCGGTGCCAAGGCTGGCGCCGATAGCCGATCCAGTTCATCGTGTTTCCGCTCGTGTTTTCGTCGCTCGTTGTCGGTGTCGCCGGCAACAACGACCTCAAGCCGCTCGGCCGGCTCTCGCTCAAGTCGTTCATCTACATTGAGATCGTGACGACGCTGGTGATCATTGTGGGTCTTCTTGCTGTCAACTTGGTCAAGCCTGGTGTGGCCGGCATCACCCTGCCCAAAGACTCCTACAGTGAGACCGCGCGAGACAAACTTTGGTGGTTGATTTCTTCCGCTATATGGCTCGCACGGCGACGAGACGATGGGATTTGGGATCCCAGACGTCCATTCTACCAGCATGCCAAGTATGAGCGATTTCATTTTTTGGGGTTTTGCCGGCCACCACGCGCCTCAGCATCGGGCCTGGAGCCGCATGCGTCCCGTATCCGGAATCCCGGATAGTATCGCATCAAACTCACGCGATCCAGCAATTTGAACTAGCTATACTAGCAACGTTATCAAAGGACTTTCTTATCCAGCAACGACAGCGCCTTCGAGGGTAAAAATTACATTGTTTTCATGTACTAGCACTCTTGGCATTATTCGGTGGAACCTGCACGCCCATGCCAACTCCTAATGTCATTTCAGTTGCCGTGGCAACGACCGCAACGACCAAGCGAATCTTGGCCCACCATCAGGCACGAGGATTGGCCAGCTATACGTCAGCTACAGCATGTGATTGGTCAAATGACAGAGCATGTCCAAACCATCTGTGGTCAGTCCCAACGGCACACTCAACGGCACACTCAACGGCACGGACGCCATGGGTCTGGCCGAGACGTTGGCCGAGGCCATCGAGGCCTCTGCCCACCTCCAAGACGCCGTCCGCGCAGGCCACGAGGATGAGATCAACGAAGTGGTCGCGCACTTCAACCAGCTTGCCTCGGCGCTCGGCGTGTCGCACTGGATCGTGAGCGACGACATGCTCCTCGACTCGCCGACGCTCCTCCTGCGTCTTCCCGTCCTCGACAAGATGCTCACGCAGATGAGCTACCAAGTGTCGGCCACGGATGTCACGCCGACAGACGACGACGTTGTGGCCCGAGCAAGCGGCGGCGCTGCCCTTTTCGGCTATTGCTTGGGGTTTCCTGGCTCGTCCAAGGGCGTCGAAGCCGCCATTTTACAGCCGCCGACGCACTGTACGCTGGAAGCACCAACGCTCGGCAGAGATTTTCGAGACACGTGGTTTCCCAGCGCCGCCGCGGCCAAGGACTTTTGCGCTGCCGTCCGATCCAGCCGGCCGACACGCCATTGCGGTATCTACGATCTGCCGCTGCGGGGGACGTCGGTCGTGCACGTGGCGTATGCCATCGTGCCCATGAAAGCGTTTGCTTTGGACGTTCTCTCGACGCCGCTAACCGCGTCCGCGGTGGCGGATGGGGCGCGTGTGACGGACGTTGTGACGGCCCAGAACTTTCTGTTTGACTATGGCTCGCACGTGTGCAGCGGCGTCTTCCACGTCGGTGGCATTATCTGGAAGAAGGTCCAAGTGAGCACGACGACGGACGAAGCGACGGCCTTGCTGCAGGCGGCGTGCCCAGCGATGGGAAGCTGCGACTTTTCGATCAACTACAGCAGCTTTCCGTACCAGAGCTGCATCGATGTGTGCGAGAGCACGCTGCACGACGCGCGTCAAACACGGTGCGACATTATGACAGAGATCAAGTGCACGGGGCCGGACGCGCTCAGTTTTGCGATCTTCGAGCAGCGACTCGTCCTCGACCCGGCGACGTGGCACGTTATTGTTCGTCCGACAACGCGCGTCGGTGTCTGGGATTTACTGGCGGCCGCCGGTTTTGAGCGCGCTGCCTCCCTCGTGCGCGATGCGTGGCTCGACCTCGTCTCAAAACGTGACTTGCCATCGGACGTCGCTGCGGCGGTCCGTGCCGTGTACGTCGAGGTATGGCTGCACGATCCGACCATTGGCACGGAGCTCAAGCACACGCGCGTTGCCTGCGCTAACGCCGCCGCCGTGGCCATTTCTCACCTCTTCGACGCGTCCACCGCCGATACCGTCGAGAGCAAAGCGCTGGTCGACGTGGCCTTGCTCGCGCTTCGCTTCGACATCGAGTTCCACCAGACGTTTTTGGTCGACTGGTTGTGCGAGCCACGCCTACACGCAGCCTTGTGCCGGCTCGTTGCGGCCAACGACTTGGTGGCGATGCTCGAGCTTGGAGCGATCTACACTAATGTTCTCAACGCCGTGTTGGTCGAGGCGGGCATCAACCTGGACGCGGCGGTCGATGAGGCACTCCAGCGTGCCGGGCAGCTGGCCGCGCTCCGGAAGGACGCCCCCAAGGTTCAAAGTGCCATGCACACGTGGTGTGTCCCTGCGCTGGACGTACGCGACGTCCCGATCGCTGTCAAGATCCTTCTCGACGTATTCAGCAAGGCAGCGATGCCCGATGACGCGCTGTTGACCGCGCGGGTTGGCGAGCTGATCGCGACGAACATCTCTCCCAGCGGCCACAAGGAGCTTTCTGGTATCGCCCACAAGTTTGGCTGCACCGACGACGGCTTTCAGAGTACTCTCACGCGAGAGCACATCCTTGCGATGGCCGATGCGATGCTCACGGCACTCGGCGACGGTGCGACGGCCGAGAGCTCGGACGAGGAGGAGCTGCCCGCCCCCGTTCTCGTCAAGAGCGAACCACCAGGCCCGGTGATCCAACAGCCCATGAGCCATCTCTTGACAGTCGTAACCAAGCCGAACAAGACGACGGACCTCCCCGGGCTCATTTGGTACACGCTGAAGCACCGTCTGAGTCTAGTCAAAGAGCTCTACACCACGACATCGGGCGTGAAGCGCAAGCGGGCCGATCGGCAGGTTCAGGATGCGTCGCCTCCGGGGCCAGTCGTCTTTGATGGGCTTTTGAGTCTTTTGGACTCGCTGACGCCGACCGCGCGCGCCGAGGTGTACCGCCTTCTTCTCGACCGCCGCTACCTCGTCCCCTTCCTTGTCCCCTCGACATACGACGAGCTTCGGAGCGAAGCGGGCGCGCTGGGCCTCGTCAAGACGCGGCTCGACAAAGGCCAAGCTTCGCTCATGCGCGACACCTCGGTCACGCGCGTGGCTGTTGTCTCGGAGCAGCCCACGCGAAGCAGCGTGACGAAAGACTGGATCAAGAACGTCTTCCACGTCGACTCGGTGCACTGCCTCGACCGCACGCACGGCAACAACGTCACGAACGCTGCTGTCGTCGCCGAGCTCGGCTGGGGGTTTGTGCAAGAAAACACGGAGTTTACGACCGTCATGGTGCTCCACGTCATTGGCGACTACATGCTGTTGGCGCCGTTCATTACGCAGTTTGCCGACGTCTTGGTCGTCGACACGGGGGCCCGACCCGTGCGCTTGACGCTGCCCCGGGGCACGGTGCTGCACTGGTGTCACTCGAACGACGACGAAGACGAGTCGTACCTCGACGACAAGGTGCACATTGTGTCGGTCGCGCTCGCGTGTCCCATGTCGACGTCGTACGAGCGCATCACGGCGCACATTTTGCAGGAGCCCCACGATGCGCCAAAGCAGCTCGTCGACCAGCTGTCGCTGCCGAGCCTCGTCCAGCGGGATTGGCTAATGCGACAGAGAGTGGCGGGCATGCTAGCAGGCACGGACTTTGCGACGCTTCGCACCAAGAAGCTGAGGCTCCAGCGGCGGTTTGCTCACGAGTCGGAGCTGCGCATTGCGCTCCAGCGGGAGACGAGCGTTCCGAACCAAGCGGTGCTGCGCCAGCGGATCGCTTCAAGTGAAGCCGTTCACAAGAAGGTCGTGCGGGTTGTGTCGCAAACGCCGTTGCTCGAGTACTTCTTGTACGTTCTCAAACGACCTGATGTTGCGGACCGCGAGATGCGCATCATCGACCTCGAGCGTCGACTTGCCGAGTGCGGCGAAGCGATCACGGCCAAAGCGCAAGCCGAGTGCAGCCGGGCCTTTGTGGCCCTCAGCGAAGTCGACGACGAGGATACGCGAGCCGCCTACGCTTCAGCCCTTGCGACGTGGAGCAACATGGTCACCGGTCTCGAGCACCTCTGGCGCGAACTCTCGCACATGTTTACGGCCGACCCCGACGTATACGCGTATCTACCGTCGCTGGCGGTCCAGCACCTTCTCGATGGCTTCTCGCTCGAGCTCATGGACGGTGACGCTGGCATGGTTAACGACAAGTGGATCCGCGCTATTCTTCGCTGTCTCGACGAAGCATTGCCGGCCAACACCCGCGTCTTTGTGCTCTCGGTCATGGGTGTCCAGTCGTCGGGCAAGTCGACGCTGCTCAACAGCATGTTTGGCGTCCGACTCCGGACGAGCGTCGCGCGGTGCACACGGGGCGTCAACTTGCAGCTCCTCGCTTGCGACAACGGCGGTGCGTACGACTACATGTTGCTACTGGACACGGAAGGCATCCAGTCGCCCGAGTACGTCGGTGTCGAAGGCACAGTGTGGCGCGACAACCGCATGGCGTCCGTGGCCATTTTGCCTGCCGATGCGACTATCATCTTGACAAAAGGCGAGTCGACTAACACGATCAACGACGTGCTCCCGATCGTGCTCTCGGCCTTTGCCAACTCGGAGCTTGCGGCTGCGTCCGGTGGCCATCTCGCGACAAAACTCTATTTTGCGTTCAACCAAATCGATGTGACGCAGAGAAGCAGCATGGTCACAAGCCTGCGCGCGCTTCTCGACAGTCTGCGCAGCAGCGCCAAGCAGATTGCGACTGTGCGGCAGTCGCAGGCGGCAACGGCCACGTCCTTTTTGCGCGACTTTTCCACTGACATGACGGACGAAACGACGAGTGCAGTTCGCTTTCTGGGGCTCACGCAAGGCCAGACGACGCCGCCCAACGACGTGCCACTGCCCGACTTTGGCGACCGACTCGTTCGCTTCCGAGATTTCATGCACATGACGGCTGTCAATGACGGAGCGTGGCAAGCGCGCACCGTCGGCGAGCTCAGCGAGAGCTTGGACTTGGTCTGGATGTGTCTTCAGAGCGCCAACTTTGAGCTGGACTTTGCGTCGGCCCACGAACGCGTCGTCTACGACCGGCTGGTGCAAGCCATGGCAATGCACACGCAAGAGCTCGCCAAGATCTACAGCGAGGCGTTTGACTTGGTGCTGCAGACGATGAGCGCCGACAGCGCGGACGACAAGGCGCCGGACGGCGACCGCAGCAGCAAGTACGAGCTTCTCCTCGCACATCACGTGGAGAGCACGGTGGCTTCGCTGGACGCTGTCGTCATGGCGACGCTGAACCAAAATGAGTTTGCCAAGTGGGCCACCGCGATGGAAGCAACATGGCATGAGAAGAAGCAGCGCCAAGCGTCGCACTCGGTGCGCCTCGTCCAGTCCAAAGTCCAGCACTTGTTCGACTTTGACGCGATCACCAAGGCGTACAAGGAAGAGCTGCAAGCGGCCATCGTCGACCACAACGCCAAGTGCGGCCCCGAGGCGACCTTGGCCGCCTTTGACACGATCTTCAACGCGATTTTGGACAAGGCGCGCCACGCCAGACCGGCGCTCGCCACGCACGTGCCCAAGCTCGTGCACGACGTCCTCCACGGCAACAATATCTTCACCCCGGACGAGCTTCGGCTCTTGACGAGCAACGACGACGACGCGTCATTCCTCCAAAGCGCGTGGCAGTCGGCGAGAAACTGGGTGCGGCGCGATGAGCCCTCGCGCGACGCCAAAGTCGCCGACGCGGTGCGCGATCGCGTGTGCAGCGACCTCGCCGACGTCGACCGCTACGCAGACGACGTTGCGCTCACGTGCGTCATGAGCATCAAGCGCCTCTTATCCACGATGCAATTGAAGCCGTCGGAGCTCAAGGTCGGTCTCCGTGCGCTCCACGAGACACTCACGACAGCGCTCCAGCAGCGTCAAGCGCGCTGGGACGCGGTCAACAGCGTCGTCGCCAAGTTTGAAGCGTTCCGGCCGAGCATGCTTTGCTTCGCGCAAAGTGTCTGCGACGGTCAAAAGGCCGCCCAGCTGCTCTCGACGACGCTGAACGAGTGGCTCGGTCTCCATTTGACCAAGGCGTTTGAAGAAGAAGTCGTGAGCGTCGTCGCGTCAGCGCTCAAGGACGCGCGCTGGGTGCGCACTGCCGACGCGATGCAGGCCGCCTTGGACAAGGACCTTTTGCAGCTACTGCGAAAGCGGGAGATGGACGCGGTGCTGAACCACATCAAGCTGCCGGTCGAGCATGCTGCGGGCGTCATGAGCCACCTCGTGTTGGCCCAAGTGCAAGAGTGTCATCTTCGTGTCGCCGAAAAGCTCGTGCGCGACGTGGAAGACAGCATTGTGAGCGCGAGTGCCGTGGCGCGTGACGCCGCCACCAAGCGCAGCAAAGTCTTTGTCCACGCACTCCGCCTCAAGCTCCAGAGTCGGCTCAAGTGCAGTGGTACGAGCGCGCTGATTGAGAGTCTGCCGTCGGTCGCGGGGCTTTTGATGAACTGCGACGACCAAGGCCCGTCGGTGTTTGCTCTCAGAGCCCATCGCGACGGACTCAGCGTCCCGCAAAGTCTTTTGGCGCGCCTCAAAGCTCTCGACGTTCATCTCGGGCCATCGGTCTTGTGGAGCTCGTCGATCGCTCACAAGATTGTCAAGGCCATCCACAACGAGGCGTACGGTGCGGTCGATGGCATCATGCCGCGCTGTGGGAAGCCATGTCCGCGCTGCTTCTGCCCGTGCACCAAGGCGCTGGGCCATGTCTCGACGACCGACGACGCGCTCCACGACACGTACCATCAGCCGGTAGGCCTCACTGGTATCTCGTGGAACAAAACCAACGAGCTGGTTGAGTCGAGCTGTGCGACCAGCGTGGTCGAGAACAACGTCTTCGTGTTTACAAGCGGCAGACGACCGTACAAGGAGTTTGAGACGATCTATCCTGGCTGGGCCTTGCCACGCGTGACCAAGTTTCTTCCGCTGCGCGAGTACATCTTTGCCAACTGCCAGACCGAGCTCGTGCAAAAGTACAACAAACTCAAGTGCTCCAACATCCCCGCCTCGTATACCCACGACATTGGCGACCTTGAAAAGCACCTCGATCGTCTGCTGCGTTAAGTTGCACTTATCAAACATTTTGGTTTTCCAAATAAGCTTGCTCCTCGGTTTTGACCAGAGCTCAAGATCGTCAGCGTCCTCTTCGCCATTACGCAGTGGAATACAGCAGTAGACGGGTGTTTGAGCACGTAATACTTGACACCTACTACACAATACTAGAACCATTAGGTTGGGACACGGCAACGTGTTTGTATCAATCTATCAGTACGATAGTCCTACCGAGAAACCGTTAAGATGGGCAGGAACCGCCGGGCTCCATACGATGGGACTGTACAAGAGCCTAGTTTCCAAGTTGCCTCTTTGCATACACGCCGGTGTTTGGGGTGCACGGCCTCCCTTTGTCTGGCGTTCACAGTTTGGTGGATACAGTGCCAAAGTTAGCAACCACAACTCGCTCAAGAAGACGATCTTGGGTCGCAACACGATAACAATTCTAGAACAACCGCGGTGTCAAAGAGCGTCGTCGAACTCCCGCAGCTGGTGCACCCAGAGTTCAAGAGTATCGCCCATCGCGATGTGGTCATGTGGAAGCGCGTCGAGTACGAGACCTCCGTGCGGCGCGAGTGTCACCGAACGAACCAAAGCTATGCCGCGACGTGCGTTCCGCTCCGGGAGTCGTTTGCCCCGTCGGGTTTCTCGAGTTCCTCATGAAGAGCAAGTGGAAGCTATGGGACGACTACACGCTGCTGAACGTACCGGATGCGAAGCTGTGGGACGCGATCAACGACATCATGAAGAAGCAACCGAACATGGCGGTGCTCACGTACGACAAGGTTTTCGCCTCCGTTTCGCTCGACTATGACGAAGAAGATATCAACGCGCGAGTCAACAACTTTGTCTTTCAGGCCAGTCTGGCAATTGAAGAGCATGGTCGCAAGGAGAAGCTCGAGAACGATACGCTCAAGGCCAAGATCTTCAAGGCACTTGTCAAGCGGCTTCGTCCCGACCAGTTGAGGATGGACGTCAAGCAGCTGCTATATGAGAAGCTGGCGGTCGAGCCGCGAGCTGGCCTTGCGCACCTCGAGAAAATCATCTTCAAGCGGGCGAATATACATGCAGAGCCATGGCACGGCGCCAGTGCACGTCGATGCCACGTAGTGGGTCGTGCGAATGCTCTTGTAGAGGAGCTGCCACACGTCGCGTTCGGGTCTGAGGAGGACGTAGACAGCGGCATAGCCTGTGGCTGGTAGCAGCGTCGCGCCGCCGAGCCAGATGCAGCGCAGTTGCAGCGCGCAGTTGTGCACTCCACCGCGACCGAGAAAGGCTTGGACCTGCGTGTGAAGACGACTCGACCAAGCAGGGTCAAGAGCGCAGAGGGAAGGTGAAATACAGCCTGTCGAGTATTCCTGGACGAGACTGGCGACGTCCGTTGGTGTGAGCGGCCATGGTAGCAAGACGTTGCCAAGGCGCACGTCCGGGTGAGGGCATCGACCAGAGGTGCAGAACGACGCATCGATGAGCTGGCGGTAGGCGGCTTGGCAGCGCTGGTGCTGACGCTCGTGGTCCCAGAACGGGTGGAGGTCCACCAGCTGCGTGTTGTCGTCGTCGATCGGCCAGTCGCCCCACTCCTCGGCCATGACGAGCGAGATGTCGACGGGATGCAAGATTCGAAATGAACGCAGTGTTTCGCAGGAAATACACTGTATGAAATAGTGGCAACAGTGTCTGTTGGCCAATATATTGGATCGCACCTGGCTGTCGGTCCAATACAAGTTACTCAACTTGTATTGGAGCTCTGTTGCCGCGTCGGTCTTGTTCATAGGAGACGTCCGCAACATGCTGGCTCGCAGGTAACCCCAAGCCACCGATTTCGACACATTTACCTACGTTTTTGCATCTTCCAACTCATTAGATGCCATGTTGGAGCGCCGATTCTGTCGAGCGCATGTAGTCGCGTCGGTAGATTTCTGCTTTGCAAGCCAACGGTACGCGCTTCAGTCCCGTAGCTGCGCTCCCTTTTCCGTCGTCCATGGGAACATCAAGGTGTTTCTCCTCTCAACGTAAAAACCTCTCACGATTCTCCCTTGGTAGCCAGCGCCACAAAGGGAAAGGGTCCGTCGTTTCTACACAAAAACAGCAGCAGTCGCCAATTCGAGCCCGCCATCGGCATGACCAGGCACATGCCCTCGTGCGCGTGTGAATCGGGTAGCACTGCTACCTCTTAAAGGGGGAGCCGGTGGCGGTGCTCGGGTTGGCGCTGCTGCTACTCTTTTGCTATCCATCGTAT